AGGCTTCTTGCCCATGACTCTGCTATTCATTCTCACTACCATACACTGCCCAGGGGGTCCATGGTTGTTGGGTTGCCTAGTGGGGTCATGCAGGACCACTGGTCAGGGCCATTTCCTACCTTCTTCATAGAAGACATGTGCTTCTGGAGAGTGTTACACTTTGAATACAAGGAATTTATAATGTTTATGGGAGATAAGCAGGGCTCTAGACCAAGTGAAAGAAGTCATTTACAGTTTCCTACCATTTAGGCTCCCAACTCTTCCCTCTCTTAGTCCTACACACCTCCTTTCATCTGGCCTTCCAGTCCCTAGGAAAACCTTGTCTCAGGCTGGGGATGTAGCTCAGCGGTAGAGTACTTGGCTAGCATGTACAAAGCCCTGGGTTCAATCCCCAGCACTGCAAAAGAAAAATATATGAAAACCTCATTTCCATTCTTCTACTTACTCTAAGCCTTAGAGCCCAACATATAAACGAGTGATGGCAATGAAAGGGGTAACACCTCCATACCTTGATCTACCTAACATTTATGTGGTTCATACTGCAGCTTACAAAATAGGGATGTTCGCATGCATCGTCTCTAGGAGGACATCTGAAGTTTTAACAGCTGGCAGAGCATGGACAAATGACCAATTAGGACAAAGCCTGGTCGCAAGGCTGAATGGGTCCTGGGACCCCTCCCCTCCACTGTCCAGACATTATCCATAGGTGCTGGTCTATGAGGAGGTTAGCACGAGTTCCCAAGGGAGGGGCTGAACAACCAGGGCCAACAGGGGGATGGGTGGGAGGGGGTTATTTGGGGGGAACTCAGGGCATCAGCCATTAGTAGGCAGTATAGAAGTGCTCTAGTGTTTTCATACCTGTGCGGTCATATTAGTGCCCATTTGGCAGTCTGATTAATTTTTTCTAGGACATTTGGAGAGAGATATGACATTTTCATTCCAACTACTGAGGAAACAGTCTTTATAAGGTGCCACAGTGTCTCAAGCTCTCATAGCCAGAGTTCAGAGCATGGGGACCCAAATTGAATGGAGGAGGTGGAAGTCCTGGGTAGCCAGAGGACACTGTGAGGGCTCAGGTCCCATCCAGGCTCAAGGTGTGGGCAAACCAGAGAAAAAGAACAGAAAGAGGTAGGGGTGTGTGTGTGTGTGTGTGTGTGTGTGTGTGTGTGTGTGTGTGTATTTGAGTGGGAAGAAAGCAGGTAGGGGAACAACACTGAGAAACTGCTCATTATCACTCATGGTTTTGTTACGGCCAGTACCGGTCCTGAGTGACACCAAGAGGCTACTTCCATAGTTTGTATTGCCTCTCATCCTTGATCTGAATATTGTCACCTGGGGAATATGATGACATCTGGAGCACTATTTATGGCATTTGTGACTTTAGAAAATGCTGTGTTTTAAAGGATCCCCCCTCCATATTCAATTGCCTGGCTGGGTAGAATCTCCAGCTCAGTGGATTCTGACACGAGCAAAAGTCAGTTAATATTAAAGTGGGCTTCTCACTGAAGAAAGCCCAGGGCCCAGGAAGATGAATACAAAATTCTATTTTCTTTTCTGTGGACAGAGCCCCAAATGTTGGTCAGCATTTGCCCAGAATTCCAGGTACTCTTGTGTATTTGAGGCTGGGTAGGACCCAGATATCCCATCCTTCTGGAAAAGCATAGGCCCCATTTTAGTTTGACAAATAAAGCCCTGGTCTCTTGGGGGGAAAGGGAATTAGTCATGGCAACTATGCCCCAAAATGGGGACTTGGCACTTGGGTCTCCAGGACTGCCTAGGTTGTGAGAAGTCTGAGGGGTGTTTAAAGGGTCTATGATGTAGGACAGGGTTAGCCTCTGAGCTTGGCTCCTCCACAGACCCAGCAAGGGGACAGGAACATGGTTGGCACAGGCTCAGCTACCCTCTCTGATATGGTGGTCCTGTCTGTCAGGTTCTTCTGCTACTGTCCCAACTTCTCTGCTGCCTCCCAACACAGTGTATTAATAGGTGTGAGTCTTGTCCCAGTCCAATATGACAAAAGAAAAAATAAATGTTCAGGCACATGGCTTGGTCTGCAGAAAAAGATCTCTTTCCCTGTGCATCCTAATGATGCATTTGACATAAACCTTGGAGAAGGATGGCATTCTGATAAGAAGTTAAAAACAAAATGTAAATTCTAATCCTTAAGAGAGTCATCTTTGCCTGTGTTTTCCCTTACTTGTCCTTCAGTCTATGCCAATTTAGTGTCAGAGACAACATGTCACATGGTTTCTTTTAAAATTGGGCCTGGCTGGTGCTGCTTTTCCTACCCACTGCCCATCTGCCAGCTCTACAGGGAACCTCAGTGCTGGGTGGGGTGGGGGAATTGCCAAAGAGTGCTCAAGTAAGAACTGAAATATTTGACTGGCCTTGGTCCTAACAGAGGTAATTTTATTACCCTAAATGTCCTGAAAACCCTGTTGCTTCTGGCACGAGAAGCCTCCAGGCTTGGTCATTTTATCTGCAGTGATCCTTGGCGTCTTCTGCAATGACTGTGACGTGAGTCACGGAGGCAGTCTCCAGTGAGGCTGAACACTAGGTGGGCACACAGGAAGATCTTCCTTCATCAGGAGTGAGAGGCCAGCAAGCTGCGGGTGGCCACTGGGCTCTCTGAGGTTTGTGGTAGGGATGGAGGGGTCACATCAGAAGGGAGGCGAGCAATCTCTGGGAGGCTAGGTAGTCCAGCCTGGGGCCTGTTAGTAGAGGCCCTGGTGTTAACTGCTGGGCAGCACTTGTAATATCAAAACCAGACATTGATTTAGGATGGAAAGAACATGCTGAATTCTCTTACCATGTCTCTCATTTCCAGAGGCAATGATATCCAGATGCACAATTCTTTCCCTTTGTGAAAATCTTTTCTCTTATTCAATGAGGGAGCCTCAGGCATACTTTTTCAGCGCTTTATTAATGTCACACACAAAACAGACTTTATTTTTATTTGAATGAGCTAAATAAAATGTTTTGTACAAGGCAAACACTTCACCATGGAATATTTAAGTTAAAATAAATAAGTTTGTTCCATCCTACATAAAGCTCCAGTTGCTACATAAAAATAAAAGATATCAATAACAAGTTAAATAAGTTAAAATAAATAGTTGTAGGAGACTCTGTGAGGTCTGGTATAGGCTGCCTGTTGTCTCCCTAGCTTAGCTCTAGACTCTACCCTCTCACCTGTTTAAGATGATGACAGTTCAGTGGGTCTAGCCGGTCACTGAACAAGCACTCGATGCCAGTCTCCAAATCATTTTTGGATAATAACATCAGGTGCTCAGAGTCTAAAAGAGTGATAAAGAGTAGGTATTATCAAGGTGAAAGCCTGAAGTCCAGGGCCCTTATACATCCCCATGCCTTCTTACAGTTCATCTGCAGATGCAGAAACAGGAAACCTAGAGAGAGGAGAAGGCAAGACATGGCCACAGAGCAGCAGTCAGGAATACCATTTGAGTCTGAGAACAAGAATGGTCATCATACTCTACTGTATACCGAGAGACGGCAACTTGCAGTACAATCTTAGGCTAAATCTTACTTTAATGGAAATTTCTAGTTTCATTATGTAGGTTGAATTAATTTAAACCTCTTAATTAGAAAACAAGCCTTCTGAGGGCAGATTTCAGGCCACAGATGCCAAATATACAAGTTCTGTTTCACTAATCCCCACCACAGGCAGGCATTACTCATTAATAATTGCACTCTTCCATCTCAGATTTCTTCTTCACAAAACACTCCAAGTAGTCTCTTCCAATCCATTAGCTCCAGTATTTGAGATGACCATTCTTCACTAACTTAAGTTCTTCTCTATGTTCTGAACAATTTTGTGTGAAGGAGTAGATATAACACAGACATTGAAGCCTGAAGTCCACATAACTTAGGTGCCTTCCCACTAATCATTTAACCTCCTTAAATTGGTGTCAAGGTATGAAGCTGGTAAGGCTACCTAACTCAGACCAGTTAGGAATATTAGGACAATTTATGCAAGGTGCCCAGTGTCACACCTGGCACACAGTAGGCATTTAATAAGTGATAGATATTATTACCATTATTAATATAATGATTTTAAGGCTACTGATGTTGAAATGAAATTGATAATGACATTTTTACTAAAAGAAGGAAATTATCATATATTAGGTTGAACCATTTGAAATGAATATTCAGTTGTTTCTGATCTATAGAAATGGCAATTTCTTCTGGTTCAATCTAATGAATTATGTATTTTATTCAAAGCACTTACTTGTTCCAACTTTATTAGATTCTTCCCTTCAAAAGTTGCCCCCTGAGACATAACCCACCATTTATAAACTTCTTCAAATCAGTTGCTAGAGTAAGCAGAGAAGGGAGTCTGCTAGAGAGAAGTTGAGGAGCTGACGACTAGTTCCATTAACTGGTCACGTAACTGACTAGTTCCTAGTACCAGTTCTACTACTAGAGACATAATCTCTGTATGCCTCATATCCCCCATCTGTCGATTGGGGGATAACTGTACTTTCTTCATCGGGGTTTTTGTGATTATAAGAGGAGATAATGGATGGGAAATCACTTTCAAAAGTTAAAATTATTGTACAAAAGCAAGGTATTATTTGTTTCACTAGATTATGCCATGTCAGAAAACATTAACATTTAACTTTTAATGTTTTTCTATAGAAAAACTGCACGTAAAAGAATATAGAATTCATGCAATCATGCCAAATGATCATCAAAATTGATCTTGATTATACTTTCAAGTAAACAGATCTATTAAGTAAGTACATAATGCTTAAAAATTGTACCTCACCAAGGTGAAATAAACATGAAATGGCAATAGAGAGAATCACTGGGTTTACAAGTGACTCAAATGTTAAGCTTTTTTTTTTTTTTTTTTTTTTTTTGTGGTACTGGGGATCAAACTCAGGACCTTGCGCTTGGGAGGCAGGCATGGCGCCACTGAGATAAATCCCCAGTCCTTCAAATGTTAAGCTTTTACACCAGAAATCTTACATTTTGTTAAAACAGACAGGCTGGGAAAGTTTGATTTTAGTACATAGTTTTGTCTAAAGATAGGGATATAAACTTTATGACCTCCCAAAGTGACTTTCAGACCAGTGACTTCAGCAGTTCTAAGGAACAGTTTTCTTTTGCCTTCCAGGCACGTTTCTGTCCTGTGCCCTAAACCAGAGTGACTTCCTGGGGAGGGAAGATGATGCATTTGGACCAGCTGCCAGGAGAGGTGAGTATGGCTCAGTCCCAGTCTTCAGATTTCTTTCCTCCCTTGTCCTGTGAACCTTGGCCAATGTAAGGAACATGAGAAGGGTCATCTTTAGTCAGCCTCAAAGGCGCTGTTGGTGGCTCCCACATATTCTGATTTTTTCTTGTGCCTGGTCCACATTTTCCGGAGGATACTGGGGACACCACAGGAAGCACTGCCTGTCAGTGGGAGGGAGGCCTCTGCTCCCTGGGGAAGGGTTGGATACTCTTCAGCCATCTTCTTGAGGTGTCTGGATCTAAAGAAAAGCCAGGGGCAGGTGGGGATGGTGGTCACTTTGCTGAGCCAGACTAAGTTTTGCCTTTAAAGTGAGTAGGCAGAATTCTCTGTCCTCTTCTGCATCTCTGTCCTGTGATCAAGCTCTGCATAGCTGGAGGCTCACTGTGGGGACCCATACAGAAATGTCCCCTAGGGGAGCTTCCCATGGGGTAAAGGAAGGTGGTGACCCTGGGCATTGTGGTTCATGGGATTTCGAGTCCTGTTCCTGGCTCCCTTTTCTAGGTCTGGCCTTGCTTAAACCTCTACTTTCTCACCACTCCCACTTTCGTGTGAGCAATCTTGCCAGAAAGAGCAGATACCCCAAAGGATCAGCCACTGAAAGAGCACAAGCTCTGGTGTAGAATTCTGCTCTTTGCTTACTGGGTAACTTCAGGCAAGTGACTTAATCATCACCAGCTTGTTTCCTCTTGCATAACATGCAGATGCTTTCATCTAATACCTAGGGCTTTTGTGAAGAGGAAAATGAGATAATAAAACATCTGGTACATTGTAGACCATCCATAAATGTTCATTTATTCCCCCCATGTGCTATTTTAAGGTGAAAAAAATGATCTTATTTTCTTTTCAACATCCAGGATCCAGGAACAAATTGACTGAGCTCAGACAGAAAGGGGCCATTGAGAATCCTCTGCAATCAGCCGTGTGAACCTGAAAGATTAGTCTCTGTCAAGTCTGTCAAGGCACAGTGAAGTTTTGCTGATCTATGCAAGGAGTCAGCTATTGGTACTAAGAGTAATTTGCTACTGGAACCTCAAAGAAGCCAAATGATTTAAAAAAAAAAACAACCTTTTCTCCAATTAAGTCCCAATGTATTGAACGACATGTGGCCTTTTTTTTTGAGGGGGGGTACCGGGGATCAAACTCAGGACCTCGTGCTTATGAGGCAGGAGTGGCACCTTGAGCTAAATCCCTGGCCCTTGTGGCTTGGTTTTTGTACTTCTTTCCAGGTGAATTTCTGTCATCCAGAAGTATTCCATTGTGCTCTCTTCAACTCCGACTCCTAGAGTGTTGGATGTGCGCCCCATGCATTGGTATTTGCTATGATTTGAATATAGCTTGTCTCCTCCAACTCATGTTGAAATATAATCCTTATTATGAGATATTAAGAGGTGGGATCAGGTGGGATCTTTAAGAGGTATATAGGGCTCTTCCCTATGAACCATTCATGCAAATAATGGATTAATGGGTTACCTTGAAAATGGGTTGGTTATAAAAGACAGTTCAGCTAGCTCTCATATGCTCCCTGTTCATCACCATGTGATACGCTGTGCCCTAGGACTCTGCCTTTCTGCTGGCATCATCAGATACACCCCTCAACATTGGATCAGAGCTGACTGTGAGCCAAGTAAACCTCTTCCTTATAACTCTGTGGTATTGTGTCATTAGCAACAGAAAATGGACTAAGATGATATATTAGCCTGTGGCTTTTCCTATGTGCATTGAACACTTTCTTAAGCACACAGCTTCCTAACTACTCGGCTAAATTTCCTGAAAAATGTTAACAATAGTTTAAGCTAAGGTCTCTAAACATGGTTTCATTCAATTCTCACAAAAACCTCTCAAGATGAGTACTCTTCTCTTTCTTATTTTTCTATTTGTTTTAAAGTAGATGAGATGTGGAGGACTAAAAAACTTCTTTGAAGTCTGAGTTGGTGGCAGTGTCAGGATAGAAAGCAGATGAGTGAGAGTTTACACCCTTTATCATCCCCTAAACCACCTGGCTGCTATGTAGTGTGGTGGGCAGTAGAGCAGGTCATAAAAGTTCATGTTGAATTGCACGTTACTACTGTCTTATTGTCTGAAGGCAGTGAGGGGGTGTTGGGGAAACTCCTGCTGTCCTAGCTGCTGGCTCTGGGCCAGAATTAACATGCATATTTGGGTTATAGCTTGGTTTGAAATGTCTGACACCACATAAATTGGAGGTTCTGAATATGGCTGGTGATGACATTCATCTAATAACTAAAATCCTCCCAAATGATATTTTTTTCCAAGCCTAAAGAATGGGGTTAATGAAGTGGAAACCATGAAAAACATTTCAGCTTAATCCTCAGGAAACAGTTGATGAGGCGCTCCTCAGACCCGGCATTATGACCCTCATTACAGGGTAATTTGCAGCTGGCATGGGTTTTGTTTTAGCGTCTTGAGTTTGGAAACCAGGCCACCTGTTGCTCTTCCGTGGCAGGGTCAGCACAGCATGGGAAACAAGGCAGGTGTTGGATATAGGGACACGGTACTTACCCTCTCCCCAGAATAGCTCCATTCTCTGAGCCTGTGGCTGCTACCTCTACTGCGGCTGGAGCTTTCACTGAGATCCGGGCCACAGGAGGAATCTGTGTTGGGAGGAAGGGGGAAGGAACTCAGGATGTCCACATTCCTACCCTGGTACTGATTAGAGCCATTTGAAAGGAGAATGACTGAACTGATCACCAAAAACCTGGGCAATAGACCTCACTCTTCAGTGGGCATCAGACGCCCCTGAGAGGTCTTGTGGGAACAGTGCTGGACCCCACCCAGTATCTGACACAGCAGGTCTGATGGGGCCTGAGCATTTGCATTGCTAACAAGGTTCCAGGTGCTGCCCATCCTGGGACCCCACTATGAGAATCACTGGCTTAAAGATACTGAGAGAATGCTACTCTTACATGAGAACTGTTACCCTTCCAACTCCAGCATCTGGGTCCAGTTGTCAAGTCCTGCAGATCCTTGCTTTGAACAGGGTGCCCACACTAGTGCCAGCTTTTCTACTTGACCCCCTGTAGGACTCAAGGAACGGTCACCCGACACGTCCTTATTTCTGACTAGACCTGCTACATTTCCCATTCCCTTCTTGGACTCTAGCATCACTAAGTCTCCTACCGCAGGACAGACTGAGGCCAACCTTGCAGCCTGCTCTTCAAGATTCTGCAGCACGGGAGTCTACCTTATCTATGCAGCTCAGCTGTCTGTTATTCCCCATGTCAGTAGATCCACTGGTGGGCTTGGCCCTGCTTTTCCTCATACTTACCCACAACTCTGCACTGTCTCCAGAAAGCCTTCCCTGAGGCCCGTGGCCCATGTTGGAGATCTTCCTCTGTTTCTGTGACCCCAGACCACTATGTGGCTATGGGACAGCCCCTCCCTCATTCTGTCTTTGTTCTCTACTTGTTTAATATGTTTGTCTAGTCTTTTGGTTCCAGAAAGATGAGGTGGAAGAGTGTGGGACTTAACCCATGTAGTAGCCCTCCTCTGCCTTCCCAAAGGAAGTGGTAAGTACTCAAGGAGCAGGTATTACATTGAAAATTAACTGATGGCTTAACCAGGGCTAAGTCCAGAGGTTACTCAGTCAATGGACACATGTGTGCTTTGTTCTTCTTTCCCAAACCCCATCAAAGGCTTCACTTCAATACATTCCTGAAATCACTGGGAAATTCCAGGTCAAGGGCACCATTATTTAGTACCTCCTCCCCTGAGGAGGCCAAAGGTTGTGGGCAGAGTTACTGTGCCACCTTGTGGCCTCTCCCAAGCACTCCCTTCCCCGTGGTGCCAATGGTCAGGTGACTATACTCCAGGGCTCCTTCGCTGGAGGTGAGGGGCCGTGGAGGGTTGTCCTCATTCATTTTCCCTTTCTTTAGTTCCATCTCAAATTCGTGTCAGCACTGAACCAGACTTAGGTGTGTGAGCTCTGGATTGCTTTCCTGCCCCAGGATAATAAAACTTTGATGAGCTGCAGGACACAGTCTGTTTCCAGGCCTAAAGGAAACACTGCCTCTTCCTCTTCTTCATTATTATTGCCTTCTCTTTGTGACCACATCCACACCAGTCCAGTTTTCTGGACTCCTGCTGCAGATGCCTCTCTGTCAAGGACAAGATGTGGGCCTCACCTACAGGTGGCACAGGGGTGGAGGTTAGGGGTGCAGGTTAATCCAAGGCCATGAGACGCTCTCTTCCCCTTAACCTTTGTCTTTGGTTTAGCCAAGACATCTGTTTGAGCTGAGTGGGCACAGTCTTTTGACCTCTCTGTTTCCCAGCCATCCCGAGTTCCTTGAGTACAAGGTTAGGGAAGGGCCCTCCCATTCCACACTCTGTGTGTGGTTTTATTAATAGTCTAAATGAGATCACTGGATTAGATTTCCTGCCCAGACCAGGAGGGAAGCACTAGCCTTTCTGTCCAATTTGTTTCATAAGGATGAGGAGCTGGCCAAGACAACTTCTGGGTCTTTTCTACATTTCACATTGCACCATCCAGACATTTTGACAGTGGACACTGAAAGGGCCCAGGACATCTGAGCTGACATCATCTCCACCACTGCTGACCTTTTGAGGCAAGAGGGTGCCTAACATTCATGCCCAGAAGATGGTGGAGAAAACAGATCTGGAGATGTGTCACCTGATCCATCTTCAGGGAAAGGCAGGCTGCCCAGCTATGGGAGGGTGGGTAGCTGAAGGCGCTTAGCTCTGTGAAGTGTGCCTCAGCTGCAGAGGGGCCATCTCGCCCAAGGTCACATTCTTCCCAAGGCAGCCCACAAGCTGTGAAGGAATGAGGAGGAAATACAAAGCCATTTTGGCTCAGCTCAAATGGCCCTGGATAGGCAACTGTCCCCAGAGATCCCCACCAGGAAGTGTTGGGCCTACATTATGGTTCAATTGCCTGTCTCCCCAGTCTGGTCACTGGTGTTAGTCCTTAACATACATTTTGTACCTCAAACCTCAAGTCCCAGAGTTTGTTTCCAGAGAACCTGACCTGTAGTAGAAGCACTCAGAGGTGTCCCTGTCCTGAGATGACCAGTAGTAATGGATGGAATGTTTATGTACTCCCCAAACACGTATGTTGAAGCTCAAACTCCCAGTGTGATGGTATTGGGAAGTGGGGCCTTTGGGAGGTAGTAAGGTTTAGATGAAGTCATGAGGGTAGAGTGCTTGTGATGGCCCTTATAAGAAGAAAAAGATATGTCAGAGATTTCTATGTTCATGCATTCCCAGAGGAAAGGCCATGTGAATACACAGCAAAAAGTCAGCTACCTGCAAGCTGGTAAGAGAGCCTATGTGAGACACTGAATCAATCTACTTTGATCTTAGACTTCCCAACTTCCAGAACTGAGAAGATGTTGTTTTAGTCCCTGAGCCTATGTAATTTTGTTACAGAAGCCCGAGCTGCCTAAGATACTAGTGTTTTGTGTTTTCATGGTGCTTGAGGATCTTACGTCTCTTTACTCCAGAGCAGCACCAGGGAATTAGGCATTCTCGTCTGGCAGGGCCTAAGCCAGAAACCAGTTCTTTTCCCCATGAATGAGATGTCCTGTTGTTCACAGTTTCTGTATACCTAAAAGCTGAATTTCTGGCAAGAAAGAGAAAGCATCAATGATGTGTTACAAAAGCACAAAGCAGGGTTGATTGATAGCTGTTAGGAGCAAAGAACCTGGCCTGTAGTAGAAGCTCTCAGAGTTGTCCTTGCCCTGAGATGATTAATAGCAATGGATGGAATGTTTATGTGCTCCTCAAACACATGTGTTAATGCTCAAACCCCCAATGTGATGGTATTAGGAAGTGGGGCCTTTGGGAGGTAATTAGGTTTAGATGAAGTTATGCTTTTCTAATAATCCTCAGCCTGGTGCAAAGGACACTTAGTCTCTCTTTATGGTACTGGAGAAACAGACATAGAGAGAAGTTAAAAACATACCAGATACAACTAATCAAACTTATCTTACTTACCAGTGATTTTCCGTATGCTCGATTTCCACACAGATTTGATGTTTTGGGTTCAGAAATCCCCACTGTGAAATTGAACAGAGGCAATATTACTCAGTGGTACTCTGAGTTCTGCCTCCTTCTGGTTCTGCATCACTTATCTTGTTTGCTAATCATTCTCAGAAAGTAATTTCTTGGGGCCTTTGTACCAAGCAGCAAAGCCAGGCAATAGAGTCAGGCAATGGTAACTGCTAAGTTCCAGGGGGTGTACAAGGTGTACATGGGATCAGGGTGTCAATGCAGGTTCATTAACTGTGTCAACAGTATCACTCTGGAAAGGAATGTTGATAGTGGAGGAAGCTGTGTAAGTGTGGAGGTATGAGGGAAACATAAGGGAAATCTGTGTACCTTCAGCCCAATTTTGCTGTGAACCTAAAACTGCTCTAAAAATGAAGATCAGTTTTAAAAGATCACACGTGGATACATTGAGCACTGTGAGTACTCAGAAAATGTCCCCTAAATTCCTCCTTCCCAAGACCTCAGGTCACAAGAGGTTACAGAGGTTATCAGGAGTTAAGTCTTTTTAGCTGGGACCAGTTATGTAGAGGAGTACTGGATGCCCCTCTGGAAGTGAGTTGGGAAAGTGTCTGCTATGGGGAAGTGTAGGCCGTGAAGTGGAAAGATCGGAATTTATCAGATCAGGATCCCAAGACATTGGCTACATGAGAAGTGTGTGTAAAGAAACTGCTTTCTAATGCCTTTATTCTTGATACCCCAACCTACTTCTGAGTAATTTCTACCTCTGCAGCTTCTAAGGACTCAGATTTTTAGGTGAGGTAGCCAGTTGAAATGAGATAGCCAGCATTCAACATAAAACTCTCTTTAGGCAGATGTTCCAGGACAAGCTTCACCTCATACACTGCAGTGTGTAGAACTGTGCACCGCCCCCCCCCCCCCCCCCCCACACACACTGAGGAAAACATCTCAGTGCTAATAAAGAGAAAAAAATTATAACACTACTGTTAAATAAAATTTTGTGAGAGGCCGTCGATTTAGACTGCGTACCTGCATTGAGGCCAACAGACCAAACCAATATGGAGCTAAAATTGCAGTAACTGAGCTTTGACTGGTTTCAGGAGACCCTGTGGCTACTTAACTGATTAGATGGAAACAATTAACTAGTTAACCAGTAACAAATGAACTAGCTGTTGGCTAGGCTCTGGCCAGTTAAGTTGTTTCTATACCTTCTGTCTATTTTCCTATACATACTATCTGATCGTGTTATTGTTTGGAATCCCCTAAACTTGTTATTGTTTTGGGCACTCCCTAATTTCTAAATCATTTTTGTTTTATTTTGCTCAAATATATCTACTACATTTAATTAATCTGAAGGGTTCTTCTTTTAAGATTACCAAGATCAAACTATAATGAATGATGCCCTGGCAGAAGTAATAAAAGCAGGTCATATTTTTGAGTCTGTATGACAGGCACTGTGCTGAGCATAAATCACCTAATTTCAGTTGGTCCTCTGTATCTACTGGTTCTGCATCTGTGGATTCAATCAACTGAAGATTGAAAACATTTGAAAAAACTGTATGTACTGAACACGTACAGACATCTTTTCCTGTCATTATTCCCTGAGCAATACAGTATAATAATGACTAACATGGCCTTTACATTGTATTAGGTATTAAAAGCCTAGAGATGATTTAAAGTAGATGGGAGGACGTGATTAGGTTATGTGCAAGTGCCATGTCATTTTATAGAAGAAACTTGGGCATCATAGATTTTGGCATCTGAGAGGGGTCCTGGAACCAGTCCCCCATGGATACTGAAGGATGACTATATCTAATTTAATTCTTAACACAACTCTAAGAGGTAAATATCATAGTAGTTTGCACTTTCTACTTGGGGAGACTAAGGTGTTAGAGATACATAAAAATTATAATGAAGCCAGACAAGGATTATTTAGTAGTAAATGGACCTCTTTGGTGGTCTTGCTGGCCTGGGGCAGTTTGACCAATGGATTCCCTATCCCAGCCTGAGAGAAGGTAAAGTGACCCAGGGAGAGCAAAATGCAGAAAAAAAAGGCTCTGCCAAGATCCAGGGTAGCAGAATATAATGGAGCAGTTACAGAATCACAGTGCACTGCAACTCAGGGTTGTTCTGAGAATGGTGAGGACAGGGGTAGCAGAAGTCAGTATGGCCTGGAGTGCAGGTGAGAGAGGGGACATGGTGCTTAAAGGAAGGGGATGATGGGAGGCAGATTTCTGTTTAGAGGGACCACTCTGGCAGCCTTGCAGAGGAAGAAGACTATTGTCAACAATGTTCTCTGCATAGTTGAGGGGCGGGCAGTCTGAACCTGGGCAGCCCAAGGCAGGTACAAAGAGGGTGAGATGAGAAATACTTAGATGTTGGCACTGTCAGTGTTTACTGTGTGAAGGGGTGTGGAGGACATGGAGGTACTAGGAAAGAGATCCCAAGACTTGCTGCAGTGATGGACAGTGGCTCAGCTAAGAAATGAACTTTCAGCTCATTGGAACAAATTGGTTTTGAGGGCTCTATTGTCATCTCAGGGAAGAAGTCCTATAGGGAGTCATTTCCCAGGCCTAAGAGGTAGGAACTGTCCCCTTTCCAGGCACATGAGGCCTCAAAGTGACAGTTTCTCAGCCAGGTCACTGCCTTCAGCAATGCCAAAGATTCCTCATCTCTCTCCCATGCAAGAAAGCTACCAGAACCAGGAGCCTTCTCCTATGGCCCAGAAATAAAGCATGTCCCCAGATCTGAGATCCACAGAGACATACAGCTTTCTGACAGGGGAGGAGAGGCTTGAAAACCATGAGCTAGTGCCTAGCTTTTCCCTGGAGAGCACCAGGGTCTGGCTTTGGCTCAGAAATGCTCCTTCCTACCTTTTCTGGCATCTATAAGATTGGGGGAGCTGAATAAATTGAATCAATGCCCAGCTCAGTGGTTTTTTTTAAACCTGCCTGGCACATCCTTCCACAAGCTGGCTATCATGTGTTCGGCACAGTCTCTCCATTTCATAACTTACTGCTCTTATCTTTCAGTATAGAAGAGTTACTTCGGCAGTCCAAGCTGCCACAAACAGGCACAAAGATGGCCCTAAAATTAGACAATTGAGAAGCCTTTTTCTCTGGGGAAGTGTCACTGGCTAGGGAATCAGGGGTCCTAAAGTTTCATTTTGGCTTTGTGGCTAACAAGTGAGTGGTATGACATTGGGTAGGTCAAAAATTTCTATGGCTTCAGTTTCCTCTTTCCTAAATTGGCAAAGAGCAGCTGCAATAGGTCAGGGTCTCCACCTCCAGTATGGATGAAAATCACGGAGGTGAGGATGAGTGTTGGAACATGAATTGATGTATCTTAACACTGGGCTTATGATTCAATAAAATTCACATTTCCAACAAATCTCCAGGTGCTGCTGCTGCTCCCAAGACCCTACTTTGAGAATCGCTGTGTTAGATCATCCTTAAATCCTTGCTCCTCAATCTGTTATTGCCAGAGCAGTAGCATCTGGGAGCCCATTAGAAATATAAAACATAGGGGCCCATCTAGTCCATTAGAGTCTCCATAAAAACAAGATTCCTAGGTAATGTCTTTTGCACACAAAAATCTGAGAAACATGGTTCTAAATTCACTGTGATTCTGTAGCAAAGAGAGATATTCTGCTTCTTTTTCTCTTTCCATACCCATGCACCCACCCACTCACCTATACATAGATGCAAAAAAAAAAAAAATCTATCTTCTCTTAATTTGCAAGGCAGATTGTGGTCTTCCTAATGCTTTCAGTGTACATGTATACGTACGTGTAATCATTTAACTACAGAAGATAGTTTTGTGTGTTTTTATACATAGGATCATAAACAGGATCAGGTTCTTAGTGACCAAAGAAACCTCAGAGATCTTTTCTGGCACCCAAGAATGGGGAAAATGAAAAAAAAAAAAACCAAAAACATGGGGAAAACAGGACAAAAACAAACAAAAAAGGGGCTTCGTTGGGTAGGAAAAAAAGGTGGGTGAAGGAATATGCTCAATGGAGTCTTATTTCAGTTCTTGCAAAATACAAAATTGTTAACACCCCAAAGATTTAAGGACACCCTGGACTCATATATTTTTGGAGTTAAAATATGAATAACTCTGGGTTGTGGGGATAACAAAAATCTAACAAAGGCAAAATACCACCAGAGACTTCAGTGGGCTGGAGGCAGATTTCTGTTTCAATGCTAGGGGTGGAAGCCATTTTAAAAAGGTAGCATCCAAGATAAAACTATAATGTTTCCAGGTTTCGAAAACAGATTGGCTCCTGAATTCTTTCTATAGATTAAATCATTCAAATTTAGAATGGTAAGACTTTAAGACGGTAGTTTAGGAAGAGCCTGGACTATTACATGCAACTTGTAAGATAAATAACACGATCTTCCTTCACATCGAAGGCCATGGTTTTCTCTTTCCTAGAGCATCGTGATTTACATCTTCTGAGTACAGCCTGGCTCCCTGCGCAGCAAGAGGGTGGACAGCGCGTCTTTACACACATGGAGAAGCCAGAGTTTTGTAGGTAGGCGATGCCGTGGTGCGAACAGTATTTACCTGGGGAAAGCGCAGGTGCTTACTCACCTGGAGTGACTGAGGCCTCTAAGAGGACTGCACAGCCCTCTGGAAACACAACCAGGAGGCAGCCCTTACCGGGTTGTGCTGTCGCGGGCGGGGAACTGGCTCTCAGGGGGTCACTGCGCCCAGGGAGGATCGGGGACCAGGTGGGGCCAGGGCTCACGTACCAGGTCTGGTGGGGGTTTTGGCGGGATGCGCTCTGGGTGGCCGTGCGTTCTGGACCCGGCCAAACCTGCGGGCGTCGCCAGTGTCCCAGCGGTCGGTGCGGTGAGGCAGCAGCTCCAGGGGCCGTGGCGGGTACAGGTCTGACTCGATAACCACCTGCCAAGCCAAGGAAGGACAGTCAATTTCTCCTTGTCCCGGGAATTCAGGATCCCCCCTCACCCCACGCCCCGGGGTAAAGCTTTGCAGATGGATCTTGGGTTGAGAAGGGATTTAGGTAGACGTCCTTACTCCTGTGACTGCTAGGAACAGCGAGAAAACTTGGGTAGAAAACCTGCCAGAAATGGTTGACTGTTGTATTTCACTTTCGGCCTGCCAATTAGTGTCATGGTGCAAGCAAATGAAGGTTCTAGGGGATTCCTCGACAGCAGTCCCCTGGGTTGCTCCGCTGCTTCATGGGCTCTCAAGGCTATTTCAAATGAGAATGATCCTGAAAACTGGGGTCTGCTGTCTTTATAGTTAAGTGGACAACAACCCTGATCATGCCAAGAACAGCTTTTTGGATGTGCTGGTGAAGGGAAGACCTAAAGAGAAGACTCGGCCCAAATGATTCCCAAATTGGAGCAGCAGGGGCTCCCAAGTGCTGTTTCCTTCAAGATGCAGTCTGCTAGGATAAGGGTGTAGCTGGGAGATGAATTTCCTCCCTGGATGGTTGGGTAAGTGGAAATCTAGGTAAGCCAGAGCACAGTGCTGAAGGGAGGGAGCCTTCTCATGATGATCGCCTGCTGAGCGCTTATTTTGGAAAGTTCTGTAAGGGGGAAGTGCCCTCCATGTCCACCAGAATGGACCTTAAAAACTGTAATGGAAATACAGGTAGCTCCCCTTTTTATCTGTGGAAATATTTTCCAGTGGCAGGTGGAAAATATTTAGAAAAGTATTATGTCTACACTGAACATGTACAGACTTGTTTCTTGTTGTTACTGTCTGAACTATACAGTATAACAACCGTTTACCTAGCATTTCATTGCTTTTGGTAATGCAAGTAATTTAGAGATGGTTTAGGGTAATAGAAAGATGTGTCTGTTATATGCAAATATAACACCATTCTACATAAGGGACTTGAGCATTGTGAATTTTGGTATCTGTGTGTGTGTGTGTGTGTGTTCATGTGTGTGTTTCTAAAACCAGTGCCCCCAAGGGACTCATAGAGGGACTGAAGGGCCCGAAGTCACTGAAATAATTTAAATGTGAAAATTTGAGACAAACAACATCAGTCATTTTATCTTAATCTGGGGAGTCATGAAAGGAATCTTAGCAGTCTGGGCTCAGATCCTGCATATTTTATCCACATCCAGTACACTGGGGTCATTCATGCTGAATGTCCTTCCTCCTTGAAGCTCGTTAGAACCTCCAATATTCTACAGTGTAGCAGCTTTGCTGAGATTTGCATCTGCCCTTTGCTTGTTCTTTCCTTCCACAGCTGTCCCCCAAGACCATGTCTGTGGCAGATCCTGGGCTCACTATGTGTCAATGAGGTGTATGTTCTCAGTACTTAGAGCCCAGCCTTTGGCACAGCCAATTGTCAACATATAAGCTTAGAGGGGTTCCTGAAGCAAAAATGAATGGTTTCTAAAAAGTATGATAGGAGTATGGTATTTTAACTCCGTGGGAGAACACTGAGTCTTTAATACTAAATATTGTTGGAATAAACCTCAGGTCACTGGGGGAAATGGATCTCTGTTCATTTTTGGAAATGAATACCAGCTAGCTCAGAGCTGCATGTTTACAGGTAGGATATAGCTCACTCTAACATTTGTTACATATAGTAGGGAATTACCCCTATGTTCATAAAACCCTTACACACTCAATAAAGTTGAAAAAAAATAGAAAAATGAGGCAGAAAATATGACCTGGCAATTGATAATAAAAATGGCTAGAACTAAAAATGGCTAGTAAATATCACAAGATGCCGAATAACATTAATAATTAAGTGCAAATTAAAACAATAATTGTTTTTTTCTCTTATCAGATTATTAAGGAAGAAGATAATTCTATTTGGGGTCAGGCTGACCTGAGTTCAAATCCCAGTTTTGACACTTGGTAGTTATGTGGAAAGGGGATATTCATGCCTAGTCTTGCTGGACTGAGGCATAGTAAATGCCCGTCATTAGTAGAGATTTTAATAGCACACCCTTCTCTCTTTCTTCATATATTTACAGCATTTAAGAGTAGTTTTAAGTCTTTTGAAGGTCAAATTTTTATATCTCCTGAAGAGGAAAATAAAAGAAGCTGTCACTTTTTGCCGCAGCTTACCCCAAATTGTCCTTTGATTATAAAATTAACATATGTCAAATTTGGCCATAGATGGGTTAGGAAATTCACTCCTGAGAGGTCCATTTTGGGACTTAGATTCATGTATCCTCTACCTTTGGGGGAGAGCTGAGAATAATTCAGGAGCATTTAGGATTCATCATTAGCCCTGAAAATCACTTTCACCTGCTCTGGTCACTGCAGAAGATGATGAATTCATTGGGTCTCTAGCAAGCCTTTCATGCACCTGTTCACCCTAGGCCAGGAGTGCACCACCACGCCCAGCTTTTGCCATTGACTTTTATCATAACTACTCCTGATGTTATGATCATACTGTCAGCATTCCTCCAAGAGAGGAGGGGTGAGGACTGGTATGGTGTTTTTGCATCCATCATAGAAAGAGAGAGAAGGCAGGATGTGAAAGCCTAGGGAATCCATGGGAAGACACCACTGCCTTTCAGCATTTCCTCCTCTGAAAAGGAGCAAATGTTCCCTTTCAGGAACAAGAAATACCACCTCCGCAGTCCTTTCCCTGCACTTTGGGGCGGGAGAATAAGGAGGGAGAGAGTGGGGAAGCATCAGCTGACCCACTGGGCAGCTTGGTGGGTGGAGGAGGCTTCCTTGGGGGTGGGGAGGAGACCAGCTATTTCTCGGGTCACCACTTCTTAGGGTTTTCTCCACAGTACCCGAAGGGTGCCCACACCAGGTGCCTGGCAGTAAGATTTATTTTCTGGTACATGGGACACCGTCTGGGTTTGATGCTGGGAGGTCTTAGAACAAAGTGGTTGGAGGAGAGGCTCATTGCAGCCTGAGTCGAGTGGTAAGACAGGAGAGCTGGGGTGGGAGTGAGAGATGTTAAGGAGAGGTGGAAGAAAAGACAAGAGTTTAATGCTGGAATTTTCCTTTCCAAGGTCAGCAAACCATCTACTGAAGTAGGAGAATATACCAGAGCAACAAATTTTTTTTTGGTACTGGGGATTGAACTCGGCACCTTGCACTTTCCAGGCAGGCGCTGGAACCACTGAGCTAAATCCCCGGCCCCAGAGCAACAAATCTTACTACAGTGAATTGATGCTTCCCTGCTGGTCTTAGGTCAGGGACAGGAAGAATGAAGATGCAGGTTAACACATAGCCCAAGACTCTACCCTCTGACATCTTGAACCTAAATCCTGTTTATTTGCCAGCCTAGACAGCTGCTATTGAATTAGAAAAACAACCAAGACCTAGATGGTGGAGAACCATCATAATCCAGGGTTGAAGGGATCCAGAGAAATGTTTTAACCCAATTCTCTAATTTTATACATAGGGAAACTGAGGTCAAGAGGTGCTGTGGGTTTTAATTAAGATGATATTGCTGTAAGGGAAATAGCAAATGTGAAGCATTGCTTCATGCCTCCTAAGTGAATGCTCTTTGTAAATCCCACAGAATTATATCCAGACAAGAATTTTCAAGTGCAATTGATTGCTCAGCACATTTCAAAAGACCAGGAGATCCCCACACAAATCCCTCCCCCACTTAGCTTAAAATTTGGGGACAGTGTGACATTTGCAATTGAATTTCCTGATGACAGCTATTCTGCTTATGTGAAGAGGGCTTGAATCACAGTAGAAGTGGCACCATTATGTCAAAGACTTAACTGATCCACTCCTTTGTCTAAGCTTATTCCCTTGAGCTACTCCTATGATATCAGTGGACATCAGAATGATCAGGACATCAATAAAATAGCCTAAGTAACAAAGAGAAAAAAAGAAAGGAAGGAAGGAAAGAAAAGAATGAATGAATAAATAAATAAATAGGAGAGATTGTTTAGAGAAGTGTGCTGTGCCCTAGGATGGGAAGAAATGTCGTAGAGAAAGGAAATCCTGACATTAAAGATAACTCGGAAAGGAGAAACATTTGTAAAGAAAGGAAACTGACATCCATTCATATGGTAGCCCAAGAGGTTAGAAGAGATACAAATAAGAATTTCAGCCAAAGAAAGTTGTAAATATTGGTACACCTGCAAAATAAAATGCCTTTTCCCGGGCAAGATAACCAGTCACAATGGTTTACAGACCACCAAGCTAGAAAAGGTGGAAAGGGAAGCAAAAGAAAGCCAAGAGCTAGTTGCCTGAGGGAATGAGCCAAACAAGCCTTTCCTTTTTGGGATTCACTTTCCCCATTTGTAAAAGACCATCCCATCAGGAGGAAGAGTGAGTATATGAAGAGAAGGATCTCTGTTGAAAGTTTTTTTTAAAGTCTAAAGTAGTTACAAGTATTTTCCCTTTCTGTTTTTGGCAACACCTAACTTACTGTTCCTTGAAGGCCAGGAACAACGTTTTCCTTCTGGACTTTGTGCTTAAGTTTTCAGGATCCATAAGCTAGACCAGAATCTCATGCCATACAGTTAAACTTTCCATCAATTAAAAGCCCTTCTCTTTCTCATCATATAAAATGTTCTCAAAAGTCCTCACAAAGAGTATACAATTGACAGAAAAATAGGCAAAATAGAAACCTGTAGGTAAAAGAATATTGAAATGATCAGCACATCTGTGAAAAGACAAAAATCACATTAAATATTAAGAAATACAAATTAAAGCAATAAGGTATTTTCACTTATCAGATTTTTAAAGTTTGACACACTGATACCATAGAGTATTGGCTTGACTATTGTGGAAAAGATACTTTTAAACATAGTTGCTAGAAATGTGGCAATGGCTATAGGTTTTTTTTCCCACTTCTTTCAACTCGATCAGAAGCTGTAATTTTTTTTTTTCAGTGTTTGTATCCTCTGGTCCAGCATTTCACATTCTCAAACATGTGTATAAGAACATTAAAATGTTTTCAAGAATATTTCTTGTTGAATTGTCTTAATAGAAAAAATGGAGAAACCCCATTTATTGATGATTTGGTTAAATAATGAATCTAAAATACTCCAGATTTGGTTTGGGTCCATAAATAATTGTACATTCACACATTGGAATACTATACAGCTACCAAGAATGAAGTAGATCTATATGCATTAATTGGCATGGAAACATGTTCAAGATTTATTAAGTGAAAAAAGCAATTTGCAAAACAGTATATTATCAGACAACAAAGCATAACTATAGTATTTGGGAAATTTTTTACTTAAAAAACAGCAATGTATATTGAATGCTTAATATGTGTCAGTCTCTCAACTAAATACTTTCCATATATTAAATCATTTGTTCCTTCCCATGATTCTTGAGGTATATGCTCTTGATATCCTCATTTTAATGGTAAACAAGTTGAGTCCCAAAATGGTTAGGCAACTTGCTCAAGACTCATTTAACTAGAAATTGATGGAACGGGGATTTAAATGCAGGCAGATTAACCCTAAAGTCTGTGTATCTAATCGCTCTGTTCTACAGCTTCTTAGGATTTTATGGTTTTATATTTTGTATCTTTTGATGTTTAAAATTTTATAAGAGACACAATACTTTTGGAATTAAAAGCATAAAAATGTATATAAAGACAAGTAAAATCCCATCTTGTTCCCAGGATATTAAAAAAAAATTTAATGGCTTTTAAAAAGTGAGATACTTTGAAAGAAAACCATGGTATTCTATAAAAATTTGTGATAGAAATACAAACTTCGGTATAACCAAGAGGAAATGATTAGTTTCCTTTTAAAAACAAAGTGTAAAGATACATTAAAAGTTTTCACATGAAGAAGTATGTATACAGATTGAGAAATGCATAGCATTGTAGACTCTAAAGACATGTAAATTAAGGTATTATGTATGTTTGGAGGTGGATGGAAAGGCATGGCCGGAAGCCTCAAAATTGTTCAGAATTTCTGGCAGTATGTGGTAAAAATGTAAGCAGAAACCATTTTTTAAAAAATCACTCTTATGTTCTCTACATTTATCATAGTTTTTCTCACAGTAGGACTACAAATATTTACACTTGATCTTAGCCAAAAGGCCGAGAAGCGATAGGAATACAAATATTTGATGTATGGATGGCTGGATAGATGGATGAATAAAACTGTTCATATCCTTTTACCTGTTGATTCTTCTGTGAGTCCTGTGTACCAAGTAATAAAGCCAAATAGAATTATGTACAAATAAGTTCATGTCTGTGCTATTTATAATAGTGAAAAATGGAACATTACAAATGCCGACCATAGGAGAGCACTTAGGTTAGGGATACTACATCCATGATTCTGTTTAAACAAGAAAAAAAAGTGTATGCAAAGTAAGGTTTACCCTCTGTGCTTGGGAAAGATGGCAGAGTAGAAAGGAGCCATTTCAGGGTTATGTGGTGGACATTTGTCAGCTATTTTGGTTAAATAGAGAACAAAGTGCAGTAGCAGCCACATACGGCATAGAAAATCCTCCTTGTTAGGAAGGGAGAGAGAGAGAGAGTAAAGCCACTATGCTTTTGTAATGAATGAAGGTCAGTCTATGGAATTAAAATAAACCAAAGTGTCCTTACATTCTTAGTCAAGAGGTGTTGAGAACTTTTGACTCTTCTCCTGGCTGGGCTGGTCACTGCAAAGAGAGGTAAATAGTTTTTAGAAAATGCCTGTAGGCTGACATAGCTACAGTAAAAATCACTAAGAAGTTTAGACCTGGAACAGGGTAGGTGCATAGAGGAGGGGATGCGGAGAAGAGGCAGGGTCCCACTGTAATTTAAGATGTTACTTGGTTTCAGTATACCAAAGTTCATAGCAACATCAATCACATTAGCTAAAACAACCCAAATGCCCATCAACAGATGAATGCACAAACAAATTGTGGAATAGTCATACAATAGATTATTACTCAGCCATGAAAAGGAATAAAATTCTGATACAATGCTACCCATGAATGAAGCTTGAAAACGTTGAACTAGGTGAAATAAAGTGAGATACAAAAGAACATATACACTTCCACTTACAGGAGAATCCTAGAGTAGTCAGAGATGGAAAGTAGATACTAGTCACCAGAGGGTAGGGGAATTGGGAGTTATTTCCAATGGTGTCAGATGGGTGTGCCGTTGTGTGCCTATAACCCCAGCTACTGGGCAGGCTGAGGCAGAAGGATCACTGGAGCTATGGGTTCAAAGTTATCCTGGACAACATAGTGAAACCTTGTCCCCCATCTCAAGGAAGAGAAGGTTGCCCGGAGTTTAATGGCTACAGCGCTTCAGTTTAGGTAATGAAAAAGTTCTGGAGTTGGATGGTGGTGCCGACTGTACAACATTGAATTAACCGTACAGTTAAAGTGATCGATTCTGCATACTACATATTTTACCACGATTAGAAAATTTAAGGAAACCAGTTTACAAAAAAAAGTACTTGTTGGAAGTGGATTTTATTGTACGTGGAGACATACAAGCATCTATTTTTCCATATTTCTGCTAGGATGAACTACTGCAAGTGAAACCCCTCTACTTCTCTGCCCTACCTAGAATGGAAATGACTTATCACATATCAAATGAGTGACAAACGAGTGACACCCTTGTTATCTTCTTCAAAGGCGCTGCAGTGTGAAACCTGGCTGTGTGCCTGTGAAGAGCCAGGGCCGCACACCAGCCCCTTGGGTGTGAACCTCTTGTCTGTGTGTGATGGGCAAATTACCCTCCTCAGGCCTCCTCACACTCCGCCTGTGTAACACAGGGATAATAAATAATGGCATTTACATCAGCGGACGGTGCCAAGGATTAAATGAACTAATCTTCCTAAAAGCCTTGCCCAAACCGGACAAGGAGGAAATTTCCATGAAATAATGATGGTTGTTATCGTTTTCCTGCAAGATGAGAGCAGGAGGAGAGGACAGGTGATGATGTCCAGAGACTGCAGTGTTCCATTAGGATTTCTTTTCCTGTAATGTTCTCCATTTCCTCCTGTTATTCTCTGAGTCCCCTCACCACTCCCTCCCCAGTGTTCCTTTCCCCGCAAAGAATTATTTTCAGTACTGTGTGGTATGCTTACCCCAGATTTGAATCCACTGTAGTGTACCTCAGGAAATAACCTTTGGTACAATTTCTTAGTAAAACCACAGTTGTTTTTTTTTTTTGGTTATTGCTGTTATTTACTGCGAGGTATGTCTATGAAATCTTTTCCTTAAAGGCCTCTTTCTCTCTAGCAGGTAAAAATACACAGGTTTTCAGTTACAGACTTTATCCTGTGCCTTTGGAATACTTAGGGAACACCATAATATTTGCTGCTGCCATATTTTTGTGAGACAGTAAGATGGCTCAGTTGAAAAAACGTAGATATTAGGGCCGGGGATTTAGCTCAGTGGTTCTGCCACCTGCCTTGAAAGCGCAAGGACCCGAGTTTGATCCCTGGTACCAAAAAAAAAAAAAAAAAAGATGGCTCAGTTAAAAAAATGTAGATATTAGATGGAGACCAACACAGTATTGGAAAGAGGGACTCAATAGACAACAGATATAATTATAGCTTACATTGAGCTTTATGAGATGATGGTTTATTTGTCTTACCTTTAATTTCACAGATTATGGAGATAGATACTCTTCCTTAATGCCACCATATTGATGGGGATATTGAGAGAGTAGAGGAGTCACTCAGTCAGTGGTGGAACAAAGCCCACACCCAACCACTAGGGTACATTGCCCTGCTGCTGAGCTAGTACTTGGAAAGGCTTGGTTACTGCATATTAATGATCATGGGCTAAGCTGTGCGTTTTGGGGAAGGGATCCTCAGGGAGGACTACAGCCCTGGTCTGATAAAGCCAGGCCAACTTATGTTTCTGCAGTTAGAGCACGTGGGGATGTGAGGAAAGGCCATCCATCTCTCATCAGCAATGGCCTGTCAGCATCAGCTTCTCTCACCAAAAGCCCTATGCTTGAAGCTTGGAGAAGACAAGGAAGACAAAGAAAGAGAAGGAAAGGGTGGCCTCCACTCACTTTTGATCCAATATAAAACTGCAAACAGGGCCGGGGATTTAGCTCAGTGGTTTTGCTGCCTGCTGTGCAAGCGCAAGGACCCGAGTTCGATCCCTGGTACCGGAAAAAAAAAAAAAACAACCCCAAAACTGCAAACATCCCTTTTCTAGAGGACAACTTCCTGAGCAGTGAAATATGTGTGAATACCAATGAATACTTACTTGGTTTACTATCAGGATGTAGTCATGAATGAAAATGGCAAGAAAGGAATACAAGATTAAATGTTCATCTTTGAATATATTCATTGCTCCAAATGAAGAATAAAAATAGCACTTGGCAGGTGATGTATTTAATATGTGCTCACTACCTGCCAGTTACTGCTCTAGAGGCTTAATATATTAACTCATTTATTCCATATAATAACCCTGGGAGGTATATCTGTTTCTCCATTTTACAGAAGTGGAAACTCAGGGCCAGAGAGGTTAAGTACACTGTCAAAGATCACACAGGACAGAAATGACAGCCATCTCTCAATCACTTTGCTCTTGACATTTTCTGTTTATTTATTTATTTATTTATTTATTTTTGGTTTTTTGTGACAAGGTCTCACTATG